CATTTGCCTTACCCACCAGTCATTTGATTATGGTTAAAAAAAAAGTCTAGAAATATGTTAATACTGGTGAATGTCTTGTGTATTTTGGGGAAAGGTCAGCTTAAAATAAAGCTTGCCTTAGTCATTTGCCTTACCCACCAGTCATTTGATTATGGTTAAAAAAAAAGTCTAGAAATGTGTTAATACTGGTGAATGTCTTGTGTATTTTGGGGAAAGGTCAGCTTAAAATAAAGCTCTCTGTAAAAGCCCGCTGTGGTCACTATGTCCCCTGCCCCCTCTCTCTAAGGTGCCACACACTATGGTCACGATCCAGTGCTATGGGGAAACTCAGGCTCATCCCTGCTCGGACGATTCCCTCATCACTTCCCATTATAAAGACCATACGACATGGACTGTGCTGTCGAACTTCAGAGCTGTAAACAGATGATAGACAAATAGATACAAAGACACGGTCATTAAAATAAATTAAGTATAGGAATAAAGAGAGAGACATCATGTAACTTACAGTCTACTGGGGAGAAGGGATCAGAAAAAGCAAGTAAAGTTATTCCACACAGTGGCAAGTGGTAGAAAGGTCCTGAGGCAGAGAATGCCCGGGAAGGGAGAGATTCACTTTACTTTAGGACATCCAGAGAGCTCTTTGAAGAGTCGCCACTGGGGGTGCATTGGGGTGAGGAATATGCAGAAGTTCTGGATAAGACAGCGTTCAGTGGGTGGGAAGAACTGAAAGAAGCTTGTCACTGAAGCATCTGTCACAGCAAGGGGACAAGTGCCAAGAGACAGCAGTGGAGGTCCCACCACCCAATCAGTTGGCTAAACCTAACTCGTAATTTTTCATCAGTATCTCTACACAATAAAATTAGTAAAATTTAATTTAAATTATGTAGATGACTAAGTGCTATGGGGAAACTCAGGCTCATCCCTGCTCGGACGATTCCCTCATCACTTCCCATTATACAGACCATACAACATGGACTGTGCTGTCGAACTTCAGAGCTGTAAACAGATGATAGGCAAATAGATACAAAGACACGGTCATTAAAATAAATTAAGTATAGGAATAAAGAGAGAGACATCATGTAACTTACAGTCTAGTGGGGAGAAGGGATCAGAAAAAGCAAGTAAAGTTATTCCACACAGTGGCAAGTGGTAGAAAGGTCCTGAGGCAGAGAATGCCCGGGAAGCGAGAGATTCACTTTACTTTAGGACATCCAGAGAGCTCTTTGAAGAGTCGCCACTGGGGGTGCATTGGGGTGAGGAATATGCAGAAGTTCTGGATAAGACAGCGTTCAGTGGGTGGGAAGAACTGAAAGAAGCTTGTCACTGCAGCATCTGTCACAGCAAGGGGACAAGTGCCAAGAGACAGCAGTGGAGGTCCCACCACCCAATCAGTTGGCTAAACCTAACTCATAATTTTTCATCAGTATCTCTACACAATAAAATTTGTAAAATTTAATTTAAATTATGTAGATGACTAGCCTTTCTATTTTCCTTGTATTAAAGCAATTTCATAATAGATTTGTAATATACTTGGAGATCAATTCTATGATGTCATTTTCTAAACAACTTCCAAATGTCTTCATCATAAAAGGTCCACATTAAGGAAAACACTTTCATGAAGTCAAGGTCCAAACTATTTGTCATGGCAACATTCCAATGAGTGGTGCGGCAAGGCAAAGATTGTTTTGCACACAAAATTAAAGGAAACATTATAGGATTAATAGTCATATTAATGCACTTTTGTATTTGCAAAAGTATCCGTCTCAAGGTTGCTTGAATTTTGGACAGTTCTATGATTATTTCATGCATAGTAAAATTTGTGTACAATAAAAATTAAACACAGTTTTTTATTGTTCCATTATTGATTGATTTGATATGAGGTAACTGTTCAGGCCTAATTGCCTTGCTCTGAGAAAGCCCTCAGGGGAAAGCAGTCCTGTGTCTACTCAGCACAAGCCACTAGCAAATAAAAATCTCAGTTTGCCTTGAAATATGATTAGCTGTCTCTATCAGGCCTACAATTTGTTTCTAATGTCTACAAACATTAAGTTCAAAACTCCACAAGAATGCAATGAAAGCTCTAAAGTTCACCCATATGTTAACAAAACATGCCCCAAATAAACAGCATGCTTTCCCTGACAGAGATTTGCAAGACCTTATAGCCAGGTCAGCTCTGCGACCCACTCTCTTAGACAGGTGAGTTCACACAATAATGCACTTGGATTTTTTTTTCCTAAAAGAATAGCATGGAAAAAAGAACTTGGGGGAAGGGGGTGGGTGGGAGGAGGCAGATGCCTCACAAAGCCTGCTTAACAAGCTAAGGAATTTTTTGTCTAGTGTAACAGATTTGCCTATTTTAATGTCAACAGTCTGTGATACTGCCCTTTGTCAGTTTTTCCACTTTAAGGCAATGTAGCTGAAGCTTGCAAAGTAATAACTGATTAGCTCTCCCGTAGGCATTCCCCAGCAAGCCCCAGTGTATGCCATCTCCCAAGATGCCCAGACACGCCCATCAATGTGCACACCACCAACGGAGGCCCACACATAAGGGGGGTCAGCAGGGCGACCCTCCAGTGCACCTCACAGGTGGTTCATAACAGATGTACCACATGAGACAGGCGGGCCCTCAGCCTCTCTTATTAACCACTGACAGCCACTCTTTCACCTCCTTGTTTTTTGAAATGAGTGTTGCAACGATCACTTTGGTTTAAATATTTGCTACAAGTCTGTAATCTAATGAAAGCCACTAGGGTTTCACAGGTAAATGTAGTTAGAATATGTCCAAACCTTCCCATATGTTCTCTACAATTTCAGAAATTTCACAGCTGCCAGGCAAGGGGACAGACAGGAATACGACTTAACCAGAGTACTGCTTCACACTCATAGTCACTATCATCTCATGTGGGCTAACTCTTTTAACTACTTTAGGATAATATATCCTAATCTAGGATAACACTGCTTTCATCAAGCATCTAGCCTCTGATTTCAAACAACATCCCAACCTTTGTTCCACAAACAAAACAGCGAAGGAAAACCAGAGATCTCAACATTGGAACTATTTCATTTGGGATTGTTACTTAAGGTTGGCAGAATGTTTCTGCCTTCAGTCTAAAGATGACAGTATGTATACTATATAATAGTTTCTAATCCCAAGGCATTTCCACCTCTAAAGTTAAACAAGTAGGCACTCCGAAGAATACTGTAGGTTTTGTGCTCCTGGTTGAGCTAGTGCATTTTATTGCTGTCTTAATTCAAAGAGGGTATCCCATGTGGGG